CCTGCCGAAGCAGGGTCACCTACAGCAGGCTGCACAGCACCGCGTCCAGGCGGGGCTTGAATATCTCCAGAGAAGGAGACTCCACAACCTCCCTGGGCAGCCTGGGCCAGGGCTCCGTCACCCTCAGAGGGAAGAAGTTCTTCCTCATCTTCAGCTGGAACTTCCTCTGCTTCAGTTGTGCCCGTTGCCCCTTGTCCTGTTGCTGGGCACCACTGGAAAGAGTCTGGCCCCATCCTCCTGACACCCTCCCTGCAGATATTTTGAGGCATTTCTAAGGTCCCCTCTCAGCCTTCTCTTCTCCAGGCTGAACAAGCCCAGCTCCCTCAGCCTTTCCTCACAGGACATGTGATTTTGTTATTTTGACATCCTATGCCATTTTATTTACAGTTTCATAAATCAGAGAAGAAAATATCACAAATATTTGTCCCCTTCCAGGGATTCTTGCATTTTACTCATTTACTCTGTTGGTGTTCCAAGTGAAAGAAACTGAGCTCTACATGGTTACAGGGACCTAACTGCATTAAGGCAATTGCAAGAACAGACCTATAGTTTTATTCATATTTTCCAGGCAGTTAAGAGCACATTCATTCTAAACAAGGAATGCTTCAGCAGTCAAAAAGAGTTTCTGTGGCTTCCTGAGCTCTTTACCAGTTGGTCTAATCACAAGATTTATAAAACTGTGCTTACTAAAATTAATCTTAAAAAGTCAGTAAATAAATGTGGGTTAAATACCACACAGGAAAATAGCCCAGAAACGGACCGTACAGTCACGCTTCTTATAAGAACAGTACACAGGATACACAGCAGTGGAGAGAAAAACAGGTTGACCTAAAATACATCAAATCCTTTTTTGCTTCCTTTGCCATCACTTTACCCAAGTGATGGGGAAAAAAAAAATAATCCTACTGTAATTGCTCAAACATGACAAATATTTGCAGTGAGTAAGAGTTTCATTCCATTCACGTAATCGACACTAGATCTTCACATTCTACAGCAATATCTCTACAGCTTTCCTGACTCCCTTCATTTTGCTGCCCTGTAATACCCTCCCCCAGCCTTTAGCAGATGTGGAGTTCACAGCTAAGAAAGTGTGAGACTAATTTCTTACTATAGACTGTGGTTTCACAGAATCACAGAATGTTAGGGTAACTTGGTCATTCACACCTGGAAACATCCCTCTAAATAATTCAGAAAGATGGGTGAGGGGAAGTGATGTATCCGTAAGATTTTTGAATCCTTTTTCCACAAAGTGGGGTGCTAACTACATCTATTGCCCATCACGGGATCTGCAGGATCCCCCTACCCATTCATTCACTCACCAGTGGTTCACAAGATAGGATGCAATGCTCACATTTGTACTTTGATATCCACATCCCT